TTTCTTTCTGTGTCTTGCAAGCTGGTCATGGCAGCAAATCTATCCTTGTTCTCGTAGCTCTATTTCCCTTGTTAGATTTCTTTATAATTTTGTTATACTGGTAACTTTTTTCTAAAGCTATCTCTAATACTTTTAGAAAAAGAACCAGAAATTAATAATTAACCAAAGGTTGTTACTGAAAGCTCAGTCCTCATCCCCATTGCCAATCCAATAATTAGGACATAGTTTTGAGAAAAAGGAAAAAGAAGTTTTATTGCCTTGCTGGCCAAGGAGAAGCAAAGGGGACTCCTGTCCCAGGGGCTGTGATTCCAGCTGTGCCCCAACAGGGGTCAGAATTTACTTGTTAATTTGGGAGATTTCTTAGATCTTCTGGTGCCATCCCTGAAATCTGAGTTAGTGTTCCTGTGATGTGTGTGTGGTCAAGGGCAGATATCCCCAGAGATCAGGAATGGGAAGATTAGGAGAAGAGAAAAATAACATGTCTGTTTTAAAATGAGCCTCAGCACACTCACACATTGCTGGTGGGACTGCAAATTGGTGCAGCCAGTATGGAAAGCAGTATGGAGATTCCTTGGAAAACTTGGAATGGAACCACCATTTGACCCAGCTATCCCACTCCTCGGTCTATACCCAAAGGACTCAAAAACAGCATACTACAGGGACACAGCCACATCAATGTTTATAGCAGCACAATTCACAATAGCTAATCTGTGGAACCAACCTAGATGCCCTTCAGTAGATGAATGGATTAAAAAATGTGGCATATATACACATGCTGAATATTACTCAGCAATAAAAGAGAATAAAATCATGGCATTTGCAGGTAAATGGATGAAGTGGGAGACGATAATGCTAAGTGAAGTTAGACAATCCTAAAAAAACAAATGCTGGATGTTTTCTCTGATACAAGGTGACTGACTCATAGTGGGTTAGGGAGAGGGAGCATGGGAAGAATAGATGAACTCCAGATAGGGCAGAGGGGAGGGAGGGGAAGGGAAGGGGCAGGGGGTTATTAATGAGGGTGGAATGTGATGGACATCATCATCCAAAGTACATGTATGAAGACGTGAATTGATGTGAACATACTTTATATACAGAGATATGAAAAATTGTGGTATATATGTGTAATAAGAATTGTGATGCATTCCACTGTCATGTATTTAGAAAATAAAAGCAAATTAAAACAACAACAACAATAAAATGAGCCTCAGTGGTGGAGGTGGATCCTTGTTCCAAGGTCTTGGGCTTGTAATAAGTTATTTTTCCCCTTCTGCACAGACCCTATTGTCATGGTTGGAAAACATTATGTGTTGACCTTGTCTTTAGGACACACGTTTACAGTTCACATTTGGTGGGTGGTTGCAACAACATCTCCTAATTTTGCCTAAAGTGGTTCCCGTATCTGCAGTTGACTGATTCCTCCAGCTCCTTTTCGGTGGCTCACCGTTCAGATTTCTCTAGGTAATTAAGCTCACTCAGAGATGGCTGTCCCACTGAGATCCGCACCTCTTCCTGTCCTTTAGTCTGTCTGTCTTTCATCCTCTTGATATGAGTCCTATCTGGCTTGAGCACCTATCTGCCCCTCAGCTAACTGACAACACAGGATTGATTAAGTCTAAGAGCAACATTTTTGCAGCCCCCAGAGCTAGACACCTCCTAACTCCAACTCCACATTCCTCCCAACCTGGCCTGGGCAATTGTTAATTGAGGATGTTCCTGGAATAAGTTTGGATTGTCCTTTACTCAAAGGCCAATGTGTAGAAGATGAGCATTGGTGGCAGGGGAATCACCTGCCCAAACCCAAAGAATGAGCTCAGAGACGTGAGGTACAGTGGAGGCAAGGTTCTAATGGGCAATTTTGCAAGAGCGGTGTCTGGGTGAACAGGCACACTCAGAGAGGGTTCAGTAGCATTATTATTATTTTGGTACTGGGGATTAAACTCAGGGGCACTCGACCACTGAGCCACATCCCCAGCCCTATTTTGTATTTTATTTAGAGTCTGGGTCTCTCTGAGCTGCTTAGTGCCTCACTGTTGCTGAGGCTGGCTTTGAACCCTTGATCCTCCTGCCTTAGCTTCCTGAGCCTCTGGGATTACAGGCGTGTGCCACCAGGTCCAGCCCTACAATCAGCATTTTCTCACCTAGTAGGCAAGGTGCCTCCTCTGATTCCTGACTGGTTAACTACTGCAGGGAGCATAATCTTCCAGGATGTCACGTAGGTTTTACTGTTTCCTGTTAGTTTAAAGAATTGTACCTTCAGCGGTCTCCACTTCCCTTTGTTCTCTGGTGGTGGCAGGAAGCATGGGCTGGGTACATTGAGACATGGACTCAGTTTCTCTCTTGGTCAGGCCAGCCCCTTCCCCCACTTCCTGTTTGGATGGACTTTGAATCTGCCACTTTGGGGTGGCTGGTGGCTACTCTGTTCTATTCCCCTCCAGCTGCTTTTCTTACATCCCTAGTAATTTTTATTGTATATTTTTCCAGGTGTTTTTCATTTAAAGCTAAATCCAGTATTCTGGAAAGGGACCACTGGACTTTCTGTTGCTCACAGTGGGAAGCAATCAGGATCTTCCAAGGACTAGCATCTTGGAAGATGGGCTTGACTTTGAAGTTCCATCTTGTGGGGATCAGGGGTGCAAAGGGCTTTTATAGGGGGGAAAGGAGGAGCAGGGGGAAGTCTGTGTGTGGGGTGGGTCTTCCTCATCCAGGACATGGGTCTCCTTTTTCCTTCTCTGAAGTAATGGACGCCGACTTTCTGGGACTGGCTCCTATGGTTACTTTTGTGATCCTGGGGGATTGAACCCAGGGATGCTTTACTACTGAGCAAGATCCCCAGCCCTTTTTATTTATTTATTTTTAATTTTGAGACAGCATCTGACTAGGTGGCTGAGGCTGGCCTCGAACTTGTGATGCTCCCACCTCAGCCTCCTGAGACTATACGGGTGTATGCTCCTTACCCACTCATTTTCTGTAGTTCTTTTTAGATAAATTCCTTTTCTACAAGTTAAACCTCACCATGGTTTACATGTTTTATGTTCACTGACCAACAGCACTAATGACTAAGTGGGCATTACAAAAACTTACCTGATACTCTAAAAGAGCTAAAAGAGGTTGAGCAGTTTGCATTTTCACCATTTAAGTAGGGCCTTTCTTTAAATTTGGAATGTGGGGCAGAAGGGAGGCAGGCCAAAGGGAGCAGCTCTGCCTAGGATAACTGCAGACCAGCCGCCCTGGGAAAACCGAGGACTGCGGGTAAGTTACACCCTCACGTTTTGTGAATCCGGGAGTTAGTGCTGGAGAAAGAAACTTAAACAGAAGAGTCCTGCTTTATACTAAAAATAAGCCCCTGAAGAAAAGGGCAGAACTCCAAGGGGCCGGTGAGGGGGTCAGTGTTGTGACGTCCCAAACAGGGTTACAGGAGGACAGGGCTTTCAAGCTCTGGAGTTAACATGGACTTTGAGTCAAGGTCTCTGTCCTAGAAAGTACAGGGCACCGGGCACCATCTTGGCTGATGTCATGGAGGAATATATAGGGTGGCTTTGTTTGGGGTTCCCTGGGGACAAAGTGCTTTTGTCTCCCCCGGGGGAAGGGGAGGAAGGGAGAGAAAGAAGAGCGAGCTTCAGAGAGAAACGGCCTTCTCGCTGAAAAAGTGCAAGAATCAAAACTCCTGTGTTTTCCTTTGCTTATCCTGGAGGGGACCAGCCAGGGAGCCTGGGCAGGAAGCGCCAGAGCAGCTGGAAGTGCTTGGAGGCAGAAAACCTTGGCCGCAGCACAGACACCTGCTGGGTGGCCTTCCATGAAGACACTGGTGGCAGGGATTTTAGGATTCATGAGCCACTTCACGTGAGAATAAGAAAAATGAACAGATCTGCCTGGGGATTCATATTTGCTTGGAGGAGTTGTTGGGTGGTGGTGGGTGGTGGTACCAGGGATTGAACCCAGGTGCACTTAACCACTGGGCCCCATCCCCAGCCCTTTTGAAGTTTTATTTAGAGACAGGGTCTCACTAAGTTGCTTAGGGCCTCGCTAAGTTGCTGAGGCTGGCTTTGAACTTGTGATCCTCCTGCCTCAGCCTCCCAAGCCTCTGGGATAACAGGTCTGCGCTACCATGGCCCAGCAAGGTTTTTACATTTTTTATTATTATTTTTTTGATGAATTCTTGGTTTTGCTGTTGGCAGGAAGTTTATGTTTACTTGTAATCACATGAAGGAAGAAGGCTCTTAGAGGCCACTGCCTGTGTTGGAATAAGGCAGAGCAGGAAGGAATAGAGAGCTCTTTTTAATTAAGAATAGAAATTCACAACTGTGTCTGAGTCCAGTAGAGACCATCACCTGGGAGCAGAGGCAAAGCAGTTACCCGAGTTGCCTGTTCTGTGCACCTGGGGATTGTTACTGTGGTCCTAGGCCAGAGTCCAATACTCCGGGTCTAGTCACTTGCTCCAAATAATCAAAGTAATCCCAGTAGCTCTGGAGCTGGGGCAGGAGCATCACAAGTTCAAAGCCAGCCTCAGCAACTTAGGCCCTAGGCAACTTAGTGAGACCTTGTCTCAAAATAAAAAGGGCTGAGGATGTGGCTCAGTGGTGAAGCGCCCCTGGGTTTGATCCCTAGTACCCTCTGCCCCACAAAAATGAATTTAATATTCAGGACAGCAATGTCAGATTGCAAGGGGAGGCATGGGGACTAGAGTACACAGCTCTGTCTTCCGGGGGGATTGACATGAGCTTCAGGTTTTAGTTTGGGGTGGGGACAGGAGGGTCTAGCTATCCTAGTCAAACTGGTCTGGTTGATCATCTCGGGATGGTCATGACTATGTTGCTGGGGGCTGAGGCAGGAGGATCACAAGTTGGAGACCTGCCTCAGCAGCTCAGCCTCTCCTGCCCAGAGTTAAAATGGCTGGAGGTGTGGCTCCGTGGTGGAGCTTCCCCGGGTTCAATTCACAATACCGGGTGCGGGTAGGTGTCCCTGCTGCCTGGGGTGTGGTTTCCACTCTTGTCGAAAGATGTTTATCCTTTAGGCCTGTCGCTCCTGGAATCCAAGGTGACCCCCGGAGGGAGGGACCCAGAGAAAGGACACATTAGAAAGGCAGTGTGGCCTTTGTTCCTCCAAGTTTAGGGCAATGACTGAAGATTCCCAGCTGCTGCTCCGGGGTCTGGAGCAGGGTGTTATGGAAGCTGGTAGCTGACAGCCCGTGGATTACGACTCTGCTCAAATCTTGAAAATACCTTAAGTATTCTTCATCTCGGTCCCTCAGCCTCAAGAGGGGGGAGGAGTCCCAGCTTCACCCAAGGCTGAAAGTAGCAAAGGACACAGCTGCACAACGAAGGTGGAGAAGCCGAGCTGCGTCCAGCTTCCGTGACCCCCTGGACACCTGCAGGCCACAGAGAGAGTCTGTGCTTTGAGCAAAAACAGTCCCAGGGCCTCTTACAGGATGGGCCAGCAGGAAGCTTAAGCGTTGCCCCTGAAGCCCTGACCATGCGACTGGGCAGGGAGATGGGTTTGGGGAATGCCATTCTTCAACTTCCACCCCTCGGGGGGGTTTTCAGTCTGCCTCTGAGCCACATCCCCAGGCCTTTTGATTTTGAGATAGGGTCTTGCTAAGATCTTGAGGCTGGCCTCCAACTTGCGATCCTCCTGCCTCAGTTAAGATGGATGAATGCTTCAAGCACTAAACAAACATCAGAACTCTGCTGAGAGCATAACTCATCCTCAACCCTCCCTCCATCCCTCCAGATGGTGTTTTTTGGCTACATGGTGTCCAGCATCCTCTTTGGCCTCCTGGCTGACAGATATGGCCGCTGGAAGGTAGGTGGGGCCTTGTGGGATTTGGCATTTTCTTCTCTGTTCTTTTGCTTTCTGTGTGTGTGTGTGTGTGTGTGTGTGTGTTCTAATGCTTCTGTGAACATCCAAGACAGAAAATGTCGAAATTCCCTTCTGATCACACGTCCCTGAATCCCAGGCAGGTCGTATTGGTTTTTCATCTGTTCCTGAGGTTTCTGTCCCCATACCCAGTCCAGATATGGAATTGAGGGAGGTGCATAGTTATGTAAGGGTCCCGCGAAACGTCGGAGAAAGAGACCACCAAGTGACCACTCATGCAATTGGCAGAAGGGGGATTTATTGAACCAGCATGCTGGGGCTCCGTGCCCACTCAAGAAGGGAAAGCAGCCCAGAGCCCCAAGCAGGGGCTGAGCACTGCTTAAGTACACTTTTTGGGGAGGGCGGAGGGCTTTGTATACATCAGAACAAATCATCATGAGGCGCGGGAAAATTGAACAACAACTCCTAAACATGATTAGTTCATTCATTGGCGGGAACAGGTCAGGCTGGAGTGATAGGTCATTCCTAAGGAGGGTACACATTCAAACTGATTGGTTCAGGCCCTGCAAGGCCTGCGTGCAACCACACAGACCCCTTCAGTTATTAAACAACCAGACAATCAGGGGAAATGTTTACTGGGCGGTTCTAAGCATTGTCTTAACAGCTACAGAAATTTCAGGTTTTGCAGGTAACATAGAAACCTAACAATACCTCCTTTACATTTTAACTCAGACCTTGCAGCTTAGAAACTTTTACAACACCCGGTCTTTTACCCTTTAACTTTTACGCTTTAACTTCAATTTCTTTTACCCTTACAGTTAAAATTCATTAGGGTGTAGAAATTTGCAGGTATAAACAGGCAAACTCACATTAGTTAATTTTGTATTGTTTTGAAACTAAACGTAAGCCCATATACCTACTCAGATTAAACATCAAGGTATAAATTATCTTCAGAAAGAAAACTGTCTTCATCCGGTCCCTGTGGGGCATATCTATAATCCCAGTGACTCGGGAGGCTGAGGCAGGAGAATCACAGATTCGAGGCCAGCCTCAGCAATTTAGCAAGACTCTGTCTCAAAAAAATATAAGGGAATGGGGATGTGGCTCAGAGGTAAAGTACACCTGGGTTCAATCCCCAGTACCAAAAAACCAAACAACCTCCTCAAACCCTAACTAATAATAATAAAAAATTGGTTTCAAACCAGAGCTTTTTTTTCTTGTTTAATTTCTGATGAAGCATAAACATAAAGAGAGCTCAAAGGAAAATATTAATAGAATTGGCTGTGTATCTTAAAGTGCACAAAATAGCAAAACTCTTAGATTAACATAATATCATGAGCTTCTCTTTTATTTTTTCTAATCACAAGCTTCTCAAAGGAGAAAAATCATAAAAAGGCATTTATGAAAGAAGAAATACAACTGATCAGGAAATATTTAATCATAGAAGATAATCAAAGCAAAATGGCTTAGCAAAGGGTTTTTCCTTATCAAAGTGATATTAAACATTAAGCCCATAAGTAACTTTTTAAGGAAGTGTTAAATATACAGCCAGTGACTCTTGATATGGAAGGAAATTTGTGTATGTTACCCCAAAATTTGCCTTTTTTGTTGTGGTGGTGGTGGGTAGTGGGGATTGAATCCAGAGTGCTTTACCTCTGAGCCACATTCCAGTTCTTTTTATTTTGAGATAGGGTCTTGCTAAGATAGTGAGGCTGGCCTCCAACTTGTCTCCTCCAACTGCCTCAGTCTCCTGAGTTGCTGGGATTACAGGTGTGCACCACCACATGAAGCTCTAAATATGCCTCCTTGACATAATTATTTTTTATATAAAAGTAATTAAGAAGCAGCAAGCAGCAGAAAAACTTTATCCTCTTCCTCTCATTTTTCTGCCTTAATGTCGGGATATAAATTCTCCTTTAGGGAGACAACTCTGGACTCCTCTTATGAGCCTCTAGGTGGCGCCAGAGCAATCTCGCACCACCCGCTCATTGCGTCCCTGTCCTTGGATGTATCCCCTTCCCGCCCCTGAAGGCCTTGGGCTTCCCTTTGTCTTGTCACTGCAGCCTCACGTCTTAGCTGGAGATGCCAGTTCGCCTGGTTCTGAGCCATTCTTTGCGCTGCCTTGCCCGGGAGCTTCTCCCACGTGATGTGCGCTGAACGTGTAGATGAACTTGTTTTGCTTTTGCTTGTTAATCTCTTGTTGCAGGGGCCCATCCCAACCAAGAACTCATGTGGGGAGAAAAACCCATGGAGATTGAGGAAACATCTTATTTCCTCCCTGACAGTACTGTCTATCATTTTGGCAGTATGAATCAAGAATCCTGAAAATATCTATTATCCTAATCTGATAATTTGCCTTCCAACAATCTGGTTTCCTGAGATTATTTGAGAGGACATGATGATTTATGCACAGACATCATTCCAGCTTATTTTAACAGAAAATCTGAAACAACGTCAGCATTAAACAATAGGGTGTATAGTAGGTTTATATATTACATTACATGTGTTATACTTTGTTTTACAGAGCATAGTAGATTCTGGAATTTTTATTTTATTTATTTTTTTGGTACTGGGGATTGAACCCAGGGCACTTTATGGTGGAGCTAAATCCCCAGCCCTTTTCAGTTTTGTATTTTGAGATGGTCTCACTAAATTGCCAAGGGTCTTTTTAAATTGCTGAGGCTGGCCTTGAACTTATGATCGTGCTTCCTCAGTCTCTAAAGTTGTTGGGAAGATTCTAGAATTTTTAAAGCCATTAAGAATTTGTTTTCAGCTGGGTATGGTGCATGCCTGTAATCCCAGCAACTGGAGAGTCCGAAGCAGGAGAATTGAAAGTTTATAGGCTTGCATGGGCAATTTAGTGAGATCTAGTCTCAAAAAAATAAAGAGGCCGAGGGTGGTGGGGCATGTGTGTAAACCTATCCGCTCTGGAGGCTGAGGCAGGAGGATCGGAAATTCAAAGCCAGCCTCAGCCACAGTGAGGCACTAAGCAACTCAGTGAGACCCTGTCTCTAAATAAAATGAAAAATAGGGCTGGGGATGTGGCTCAGTGGCCGAGTCCCCCTGAGTTCAATCCCCGGTACAGGTACATAGCTTTGTGGTAGAGCACCCTGGATGCAGCCCTCAGTATGGGGAGTGAGGGAGTTTTCTTTCACAAAGAAAATAGGACACAACCACATTAACAGCATTGTCTCCAGATGGGAGAATCAAGGTTGATTCAACTTATTTTCTTCCTTATTCTCTATTACAAATTGTATTACTTTTATAATTAGAGAAAAAAATTAATTCCTGGAGGTTTCTCCTTATAATCATTCTAACACAGTGTCTCACTGTGCTTCTAACAGCCCTGTGAGTAGGGAAGGGTCAGTTTTGCTTTCTGGTGTACAAAATTGAGTTTGTCACCTGTGAGCAGGGCACATTAGAGCACTTCTGAAGAATGGTCCAAACCTGGAAGGTCTGGGCTGAGGCACAAGCCTCAGCTTGTGGGAGACCAGTGAGCTGCTGCCCACCAGCTCTGAGCAGGAAACGTCCTGATGGCAATGACAGTTCACCTTCTGCCCGGGATCCTCTCCCCTCCCTCTACTGAGGCAGGTCAAGTAACTAGTTGTCTTTTGTTGCTTCAGATTTTGCTCATCTCGTTCCTGTGGGGAGCCTATTTCTCCTTGCTGACCTCTTTCTCTCCCTCGTACATCTGGTTTGTCTTTCTTCGGACCATGGTGGGCTGCGGAGTGTCTGGCCACGCCCAAGGGTAAAGACTTGCCCCAGTGGCTTCCCGGGGAAGAAGCATATACAGGCATTTACACCCACATCCTCAGTGCTTAATCGAAGAGTAGCATCAACAGTTTGCAAATAGACTTGTGCTAATTGTTTTTGAGTTTTTAAAATTTTTGAAAATAATGGCAGCTCATTATTCCAGTGGAGCCGTTTGCTCATCACAATGATGCTTGACCTTGAGGCTAGTGGAGTGGTAGTTTGTAAATGTGTTAGCTTTTTTTGTTGCAAAGGCTAATCATCACTTTTTGACCAGGAAAATTTTGTAAGACTAAATACTAATAAAAAGTGCCATATTAGGTAAATTAAAAAAAAAAAAAGTCCAGGGCTGGGGACATTGCTTGGTAGTCGAGTGCTTGCCTATAGGTAAGGCCCTGGGTTTAATCTCCGGCACTTAATTTTTTTTTTTTTTGAAGTCCATTTTGGACTAACCATTTTAAGCACTATTGCCCTGTGACCTAAGACTGTGCCCGAGTGAATGTACAAGACAGGGCGAGATCATATTGAAATAGAAACATGATTCTCATCTGCTTCCTGCCCTTGGGAAGTGCCAGGGTCTGAATTTGAAAGTCCTTAAACTAAGCGTTCTGGTTTGGGGAGCCTCCTTGAAATTAACAGGGCCCCTCAGGCTATTCTCTCTGCATTTCTTGGAGCAAGATATCTGTAAAGTATATTGGGAGATGTCAAAGCATCTGACTGCCTTCCTATGTAGAGGAAAGTATTGCTCTTTCCTGGGGCATAAGTTAAGCATCTGAGGCCTGGAGCCCTAAAGGAGTAGAAGCTAAACTGACTTTTAAAACATCCCCCAGGAAACAGTCCAATAAAGATGTTAAAGCCCAACCTTGCCTAATCAGAGCAGAGGAGAGTGATTAGAAACTGATGGAATATGATTCCATTTATTCCATTCACAAGACTAATATGTACTTAATTGGAAACCTGTGCTTTGACACTTGTTAGTTGGAAAACTATTTACCTTCTCTTGGGTGTATTCTAATTTTCCAGGTATGTTTTAGAAAAGGCAATCAGGTTTGGGCAAAAGGTCAGGCTAATATATCTGAAATGGGTGAAGAGGGTTTGAAATAACTTTCAGAGTAGAAATGGCAACAGAAGCACCGGGACATTCCCTTCTCACTGTTCTCTCATGTGGACGTTAGTTGTAGCAATTACACGTATGTAATATATGTATTTTTCTTTCGGCTGTGCTGGGGTTGGAATCCAGGGCCTTGCACATGCTAGGCAAGCACTCTACCCCTGAGCTGCATTCCTAGCCCTGTAACAATTTTATTTTGATGTACGGTGAATGATGATGCTTTTGAATGCTTCATTTCTATGACCAGATTGCTTATGGAAAGTGATAATAACTCTGTTTTTGCCCTTCTTGTTTAGGTTAATCATAAAGACTGAATTTTTGCCCACTAAATATCGAGGCTACATGCTGCCCTTGTCTCAGGTAAGGTGAAGTAGGCGTTGGCCCCATCTTCTGCTTTCACGAGGATGCAACCTTGCAGGTTTTCTTCTGGCTGGTTGACCTTTGGTTGACTCGCTGCCCGTTTTCTGCACTAACTAAAAACGTTGAGAATGCTTGATGCCAGAGGTTGATGCCAAGGCCTTATGACCACTGGCTTATGTCATCCAGCGATGGTGCTCAGAACACAGTACCATCTTCCTCTATGACCGGGACATATTCCAGGGTCTGGCCTTGCTGGAATGACGGCTGCAGGAAGGCACCTGGGATCACCTTTCTCTCCCCTTCAGAGAGGGGAAGTAGCTACCACCCTATTGGGGTGCCCCATCTCCCTTCCAAAGATTCTGGTATCTGCAGATCCATCACTGGCCCTGCCTGAGGGACTGTGTCATAATTGCCATGTTGAAGAGGAGAAGCCTGGGATGCTCTGGAGCCCTCAGATCCCAGCTGACCATTGAGAGGTTTTGATTCCAGAAGAGATGTCGGTCTAGCTACCCTGTACCAGTTTTGATGCCCTTAGTATTCCAAAGTTTCTATCAATGGGGGGGTTCCAGGAAAAAAATGACTCTTCCCACTAAAGTAGTATGTATTTGGCAATAAGTAAAGCAGTCAGAGAATGTTTTAACAAAAATTTTTTGAGCCAGGTGCTGTGGTGCACACCTGTAATCCCAACTACCTGGGAGGCTGAGGCAGAAGGGTCACAAGTTAGAGGCCAGTCTCAGCAACTTAAGAACATCCTGAGTTCCAAAATAAAAGAGGGTGGGGGGCTGTGGATGTAGCTAAGGGGTAAGGTACCCTGGGTTTAATTCCCCTAGAAAAGGGGACACTGAATTTGGGCAACAAAAATAACAAGGAAAAAAATCTAAAAAACCCTGCAACACCAGATAGTAACTCTACCTTACTCCCAGGTTTCTTCTTCAGACTTGTGTTAAGGTGGTTGCACACATTTTTAATACTTAGCATTTAATACTTAAAATTATTTAATGAACAAAGCTCATTTTCATCTGCCCAGTGCCTTGGCATATTTCCTGGTTCTATCCCTTTTTTGTTAGTCTTATTTTCGAATCTCCTTGGGTCATCATGCTACTCCAGTGGTTTCACAGTTGTCCCTTGGTATCTGTGAGAGATTGGTTCTAGGATCCAGAGCATACCAAAATCAGTGATGCTTAGCTTCCTTATATGAATGGTGTATTATTTGCATATAACATATACAAGTTATCTCTAGAAGACTAAAAGCCATGTGAATAGTTGTTCTGCATTTAGGGAATGATGACCCCCCCAAAATCTGTACATGTTGAGTATAGACACAATTCGATCTTGAATATTTTTGAAACTTGGTTGTTTGAAATCCCAGACGCAGATTCTGCTGATCCAGGACCTACAGGCATGGATGGCCGACTGTACCTAGGTGGTTGTCTCTCCACCTCCAGAAATCTGTTTCCCAGGCCCCTCCTTGAACTTCAGACCCCAGAGGTCAATCACCTGAGTCCCTCACCTGGATTTCACAGGTTCCTCAGATACAACCTGCTCACAGCTAATCTCTTCATCTTCACTGAAGCCCTTGGTTCTGTGTGTCTGTTCTGTGGTCATAGCAAACAGGACCCCCTCGGTCACTGGAGCCACAAACTTGGGAGCCATTATGGATCCTTCCTTCCCCTCACCCCACCTGGTCAACCCCCACTGCTGCTAACTCATCCCCTGTTGGTGTAGCCTCGACCCCAGTGTCCCTCACCAAACATTGCCACATTTACCTCAAAAATGTGTGTCAAGTCCACTAAAGAATTTTGACATTTTGGTACTGAAGTTCCACCCAGAGCCACACCACCTTCTGGTCTACTTCAGTCCCCTTATTTGTTGCTCCTTCAGAAAAGTTGTCCCTGATCACCCAAGTCACACTTTATCGCATTATTCTACTTCCTTTATAGCTCTAGTCTCTCTATGAAATCTTTTTCTTTTTTGTTTTTTGGTAATAGAATTCTTTGAAAGAGTCCCCCCCCCCTTAAGGATTCCCAAGGAACCTTCTAGTAGGGTACCTTCTCCCATCTCTGTGAGGTAGAGTGGAGTCGCCTTATCCCTCATGCTCAGGTGAAAGCTGGGACTTGTTCCCATTTCTGACGAGGAGACCAGGCCCCAGTTTATTGATCTAAGATTATCTCCAAGATATTACTTGCAAGTACAGAAGTCAAAGTGTGGATGCTGTGTAGTCTCTGGTACCCTTTGTGAAAAAAGAACAAAACGCGTCCTTATTAGCTTGGATGTGTCTAGAACAGTGTTGGAAGGACAGAGAGGAGACTGGGAAGAGAAACCGGATGGCAGAGGGCTAAGGGAAGAAAGTGCTTTCACCATTTCTTTCCAGTTCTTGGTGCCTTTTATGTTGTGACCCAGTGAGCGCATGACCTAGTCAAGAAAAAAGTCAAGGTCTGAGACTCCCAGGGCGCCGTGTTCTTGAAACCACATAGTGCTGACTCTCTCTCTAGCTAAGTCCCCAATTTACAGAAAGCAAACGGAGTCATGGAGGAGTGAAGTGTCCATTTCCTCCAGGCAGTGCAAGTGGTGCTGGGAGTAGGACCTGAACAGCCTTCCTTGGAGCCTCCCGTCCTATCCTCGAGCAGTGTGGGTGGATAGGAGGCATTTAATCTTTCACGTCTCTGCCCAGGTTTTCTGGCTGGCTGGCTCCCTGCTCATCATCGGCCTGGCCTCTGTGGTCATCCCCACCATCGGGTGGCGCTGGCTCATCCGGATAGCCTCCATCCCCGGCATCATCCTCATCATGGCCTTCAAGGTGAGCAGCTCTTGTGACCCTCTCCAGCTGGCCCACTGGCCTTTCTGCCCCCCCTCCAATATCTTTCTCCCATCTACCTTCTTCCTCTAGAGAGTATCCCAACCAGCCTGCCCCTGGACCTCCACCACCATTTATTCCTGACCTCTCTCTCCCTGAGCACACACCCCCTGATGCTGTCCACGCGTTCTCGGGCCACTGCAGGCCTGCCCGCTTGTCGTCCTCCTCTCCCACCAGGCTGTGCGGTGCTCAGCTGCAGAATCCTTAGCTTCCTTAGCTTCCAGCAGAATCTGCTCTTCGTTAAAGATAGAATCAGCTGCTCAGCAGAACGGGGGCTCTGATCCCTTTGTGTCACCTACCCTGTGGAATCAAAGAGCATCAGAACTCAGAGGGTCCTTAGTGGTCATTCCTTCCAACCTTCAACCGAATTCAGGCACACCCCTGGCAGGTCTCTGCCAGAAGACTCTCAGCTTCGTGCCTGCGGTGACTTTATAGCTTTCTATAGTAGTTCCATCTCCCGGCGGCAGCTCCAGGTGTTAGGCGGTTCTGTGTTACAATCAAAGACTTCATAAATTTACCTGCAGGTCCTACTGCTTCTTTCTGGAAAACCAGAGGTCCCTCTTCTCACCAGGACATCCTCCAAGTGTTTAAGGGAGGCCCTCCTAAGCCTCTTCCCCGTAATTTATTACTTTCAAGTCTTTTCCACGACAACTGGCTTCAGAGTCCTGCCTCTCTCTTTGTGGAAAGCCCAGTTGGTCAGCATCTTTGATGCAGTGAACGGTTGCTCAGAATCCCACGTAAGCCCCACAGTGCTCTGGGATCAGTGGTCTGGCAGCCTACTGCCTAGTGTCCGCCTGCCTCTGTTGGTAGGGACCAGGACTTTATCGCCCACGTGGCAAGTTGCCCTCCACAGCTGGATTCTGATGGGTTTGGATCAACTGCATCCCCAGGGTCTGTTTTGCATCAGTTTTTAAACCTAGAACCTAAAGCCTGTAATTGGTGTGTGTGTGTGTGTGTGTGTGTGTGTGTGTGTGTTTTAAATCTCAATTAAATTCAAACATTGACACTTCCTCCTTTGGTTTTAGCCCAGGCTTCCGTCTTCCCTAGATTTCCCTGCCTTAGAGGCAAGTTTCCACAGGAGGTCAGCAGAAGCTGCTGGACTGTGCGCTGGCGAGAGGCCTCGTTCTTTTCCCACCTTGGGAAACACGATGGTGTTTACAGAGCCATCACAGCGCTAGCTCTGCGTCTGCAACAGTCGCAACTCTCATGTCCTTTGTCATCTGTGCCCAGTTTATTCCTGAATCGGCTCGGTTCAATGTCTCCACCGGGAACACCCAGGCTGCCCTGGCCACCCTAGAGCGCATTGCCAGGATGAACCGCTCGGTCATGCCGGAGGGGAGGCTGGTGGAGCCCATTCTGGTGAGTTCTGCCACTGGAGCTGGGAAGGCAACCTTAGTTAGCTCTCTAGCCTCCCCTTGGAGGCAGAGATTGTGCACAATCCCCTGATTGTGCCCAGCCAGACTGCGGCAGGGATGGTCTGGGGAGAGCAGAGCAGTGTTGAGGCTCTGGTGAACCTCACTGTGGGCTGCTGCCATGTGCTCTGGTTAGTTCTCAAACTTCATTTTTCTCAATAAAATGCAAACGGCAACACCACATACCTGTGGAGCTGATCACGTATTTGGCAATATTGTTTATTTATGGGAGAATGTTTTTCAGGTTCTGGGGGTCAAACCAAGGGCCTCATGCATGCTGGGCAAGTGTCCACCCCCTGACCTTTTTTATTTTATTTTTTGAGATGGGGTCTTGCTAAGTTGCTGAGATGAAGGCTCTGAGGAATAGGTGGTCAACGTTTTCTCCCATAATGTAGGTTCTCTCTCCATGTTCTTGATTGATTCCTTTGCTATGAAGAAGCTTTTTAGTTCTCTATCATCCCCTTTATTGATTCTTGATTTTACTTTTCGCACTTTAGGAGTCTTGTTGAGGAAGTCGGTTCCTGAGCCCATATGTTAGAATGTTGGACCTACGTTTTCTTCTAGTAGGCGTAGGGTCTCTGGTCCTTGATCCACTTGAGTTGACTTTTGTGCAGGATGAGAGATAGAGGTTCAATTGAATTCTTTTGTGTATTGATTTCTAGTTTTCCCAGCACAATTCACTGAAGAGGCGATCTTTTCTCCAGCGTCTGGTTATGGTGCCTTTGTCTAGTATGAGACAACAGTATTTATGTGGGTTTGTCTCTGTGTCTTCCATTTTATTCCACTGTACCTCATGGGGAGTTTGGTCCCTTTACATCTGCTACGCTCACTGGTACGTTGGGACTTCTGTCATGTACTTCTTTCTCTTTTCCTACCCTCAGTTACCTTTATATTTCCTCTTATTGGCTTGGAATTTATGCACTGCTTCTTTTGTCTTAACAGTCATCCTTACGTCATAGATGCACACTTGCAACAGCAAATATTATTTGCTGCCTTTGTGTGCCTTCTCGACACTGGGACCTTAAGGTCTTCTGAATTAAGGTCTTCTGAATAATTTTTTCTTCAAAATCATTTTTGTCTAGAGTTTTAATTTTACTTTGTAAGCTTCCCTGAACAAGTCATTATTTTAAAGCCAGCATCTATGTAGATGGACTAATTTTTTTAGTACCATCATTTTTATTATTGGTTTCTAAACTTATTTTTATTATTACTGACTTTTTGTATTTCTCTTCTTTCTGCTGGGTTAATTTAGTTTTATTTTCAATATTTAAATGTTGGATCTACCTGGGCTTAATTTGGTATAAGAAACAGGGCACAGATCCAGCTTTGGCATGTCCAAATGGCTAAACAGTGGCTCTCATATACTTTTATTGAATAATTCATCCCTTTTACATTTGAAGAATTGTTTAATGTAATTCCAGCAACTCAGGAGGCTGAGGCAAGAGGATGGTTGATTCAAATATATGTGAGAATTTATTACATGATAAGGAAAGAATTTAATTTTTATCCAGTTTGTTAAAACTTTTTATTTTTGTATTAGGGAACCTACCACTGAGCTATACCCCCCAGCCCTTTTTCTTAAAAATATTTATTTTTCAGTTGTAGATGGACACAATACCTTTATTTTATTTATTTTTATGTGGTGTTGAAGATCAAACCCAGGGCCTCGCATGTGCTAGGCGAGTGCTGTACCCCTGAGCCACAATCCCAGCCCCCCCTCCAGCCCTTTTTATTTTTTATTTTGAGATAGAGTCTTGCTAAGTTGCCCAGGCTGGCATCAAACTTGTGATCCTTTTGCCTCAGCCTCCCAAGTTGCTGGAATTACCTTAAATAATTTTTTTTATAAATTGAATTTTACCAATGATCACTCCCCTTCTTGCTTGTTCCTTAGTTTCTCACGATCTGGTCCGTGAGATGTGTCACCTACAAGAGAATCAGTAACAAAACAAGCACAGATGTTCTGGATCCAGGAGTGGGGCTAAGGATCAGTGCAGGGAGGCAGACTAAGCCAGGGACAGCCAGCCTCTGCTATTTCACTCCAAAGACACTGGGAGGAAGGGCTTGGGGCAGGGCTGCACTGGAGATGAAGAGTACTGCAGATAGGGTGTTGGGACCGAGATTCAGAACCAAGTGTCTCATTAGGATGAAACAGACAATTCCTGTGACTCACAAAGTCCTTGGCTTTATGACTCCCTAGTGACACTGGGGGAGGAGAAGGGGCCACAGTGGCATCACGTAAATTCATAGCAGAGAGGTAGATGGGTGGGGTGTCGTGATGCATGCCTGTAATCCCAGCGGCTCAGGAGGCTGAGACAGGAGGATCGCAAGTTCAAAGCCAGCTTCAGCAAAAGTAAGGCCCTAAGCAACTCAGTGAGCCCCTGTCTCTAAATAAAATACAAAATAGGGCCAGGGATGTGGCTCAGTGGTCAAGTGCCCCTGAGTTCAATCCCTAGGATGTCTTCCCACCAAAAAGGAGGAGGTAAATGGGCAAGGCTCTGGACTGGGCTCAGGACACCTTGATTCCAGGCTGGCTCTACTGCTCCATAGCTATGTGACCTTAAGCAAGTTGCTTACCTTCTATGGGCCGTATATTCATTTAGGACTAGGAAGTTGGAGGATGGGACTAGCTCCAAGGTCTTCCAATCATGAGTGACCAGAGCCCTAATAAGTGAAGTAGATGAGGGTGGAGTCATCTGTGGCACCATGCTACCCACAGTGACCTCCAGGAACCACACCCAAGAGCCATGGGAGAGAAGACCTCTGAATTCCCTGCACACTCTAGCTTTCTGTGACAGCGGGAGCCAAGGCCCCTGGACCACATTCCTGGTCCCTTTGGAGGGGACCTGCAATCCCAGGTTAATTTATGAGAAAAGAGTAGTTGGTTTTCTACAGAGAATCATCCAAAGTATTTCTAGCTTGCTTTCCCCTACTTTTTTATTTTATTTTTTATTTTTTTGCAGTACTGAGGATGGAATCCAGGAGTGCTCTACCACTGAGCTACAACCCCAGCTCTTTTCACTTTTTAAATTTTGAGACAGGGTCTTCCCTAAATTGCAGAGGCTGGCCTCAGATTTGCGATCCTTGTGTCTTAGCCTCCTGAGTACCTGGGATGACAGCCCTGTGCCACTGCACCCTGATTCATACTTTTTTTTTTTTTAAACATACGTTTTTACTTGTTAGTTTCAAAAGAATCGCCCATTCGTTTTGCTGTAACTTTTAATTTCTCCTCCTTCCCTCCCCACCCCTGCGCCAGCACCAGTGAGCAGGGCAAGAATGGAAGAATTGGGCCTTAAGTCCACTGAGTGCCTCTATGTGCCAATGACAACGGCTGGCTAAGATTCCTGTGTCATAAACAATATTCTAAACGCTTGGCGAGCTGTGCCACGGGGACCAAGTGGTCATCTCACTCTACCATACCCATATTATCCTTGTTCCCTATGATCCCAAATATCGCAGAAACGTTTGCTCGTTCTTACCCTGCTAAATGTCTTCTGCCCCCCTCCCCCACCCTTTTGATAATGCAGGAAAAAAGAGGAAGATTTGCAGACCTACTGGACGCTAAGTACCTACGGACCACATTACAGATCTGGGTCATATGGTAAGAATGCAGTTATTTAAAAACCAGCTTTAAATAAACAGGTATTTGACCGGGCTTGGTGGTGCACGCCTATAATCTCAGCAGCTCGGGAGGCTGAAGCAAGAGAATTGTGAGTTCAAAGCCAGCCTCAGCAACCATGAGGCACTAAACAACTCAGTGAGACCCTGTCTCTAAACAAAATACAAAATAGGGCTGGGGATGTGGCTCAGTGGTCAAGTGCTCCTGAGTTCAATCCCTGGTACCAAAAAAAAAGAAAAATGGGTATTTGGAGGAATCCCACTTATGTACAGTGGTCCCCCCTCATCTGTGGTCTTATATCCCATGATTTCCGTTACCTGTGGGTCAACCATGGTCTGATAATATTAATATTTGTCTTGACTTCCTCAAAGCAAGAGAGACTACGCTCCTCTAACTCTGGTTACAGTCTATTGTTATAGGTGCTCTCTTTTATCTTTAGTTGTTGTTTCTCTCTTGCTGTGCCTCATTTATAAATTGAGCTTTATCACAGGGGTGTATAGGGAAAAGCATACTATATATAGGGTTCAGTACTCTCTGGTTTTAGGCATCCCCGGGGGTTCTTGGAACATGTGTCCTGCAGATAAGGGGACTACTGTAAATTCACTCATCACCACTGGGGAGAAAAACACAAGATAGACTCCAAATATTTCCTTTAGCAATGTCTTATCTATTAACACCACACCACACCACACCACCACCACAAATGAGTAAGTAAAAATTTTAAAAAGACAAAACCCTAATTGTCTATGGCCATTTCCCCCCTCACCAGGGATTGAATGTGGGGTGCTTTACCATTGAGCCCATCCTCTGCTCTTCTCATTTTATTTTGAGATAGGGTCTCACTAAATTGCTGAGGCTGGCCTTGAACTTGTAATCCTTCTTCCTCAGCCTCCTCAGCACCTGGGCACACACACTTGTGCCCCACCACATACAGCTACAACAAGTTCTTAAACGTTTCTTATCAGGGCGCATGTGGTAGTGCACGTCTGTGATCCCAGTAACTGGGGAGGCTGAGGCAGGAGGATTCCACATTCAGGGCCAGCCTCAGTTATTTAGTGAGACCCTGTCTCACAAAATGGCTAGGGATGTAGCTAAGGTAGAGCACCACTGAGCTCAATCCCTAGTACTTAAAAAAAAAAAAAAAGTCTCTCATTTGCACTTTTGTAGCCTTTTCATTTTTCATTTCCTCGTGACAGAAACTGATCCCTTGAAGTCAACAGTGACCAGTGGGTTAGCCTCTTGTGGTCCCCTGTGTGCTTCTTTTTTTTTTCCTTTACAGTCTTGACCTGAGTAAGCAAAGTCCTTTTAATCAGGACACAAAAAGGGGCTAAGGATAAGAGAAAAGATTGATGACTTTTACACATTAGGTTAGTACTCTGCGCCATAAATTATCATGAGAATCCCCAAAGGTAAACTACCAACTGGGAGAAGAAATTTGCTCTAAATAGGCAACAAACATTTTAGAGATATTCATATACACATCTGTGTAAAAATGTTTTATTGATATTTGTAATTTTTCCAGTAAGACAACCCAGTTTAAAAATAAGACTAGAGGGACCAAGGTTGTGGCTCAGTGGTGGAGCGCATGCTTAGCACGTGTGAGGCGCTGGGTTTGATCCTCAGTACTGCATATAAATAGATGAATAAAATAAAGGTCCATCAACAGCTAAAAAATATATATGTTATATATAAATTAGAGACTTGAACAGATAGGTCACTCATAATGTGTGCATCAGAAAAACTTGTCAAACATGCTGCTGTCCCCAATGCCACATATATGTCACCTGGGAAATACAAATTAACACCTAGCAAGAGACCAGTCCATGGGAATGGCTAACATGAAAAAGCTAGCACCAGCTGACTGCAGCTCACATTAGGGCAGACTTTGTTACAATTGAAATGTGCGTATCTGGTGGCCCCATAATTCTTCAGTTTATACCCAACAGAAATGCACACGTATTTCCCCAAAGACATTTGCATGATGCTGTGTGAGCCGGGTTCTCTGTTCCTTTTGCACATTCTGTCTTGTGACTTCCACGTGGACTCCTCTCCCCGTCATCTGCCTCCTGAGCTTCCTCCATCCTTCACGTCTGCTAATGATGTCCTTTTCTCACTCCCAGGCTGGGAATCTCTTTTGCCTATTACGGGGTTATCCTGGCCAGTGCCGAGCTGCTGGAGAGGGACCTGGTCTGTGGTTCAAAGTCAGAGTCACAGGTGGTGGTGGTGACTGGGGGGAACTCACAGGAGAGTCACAGTCCCTGCCACTGCCACCTGTTTGCCCCGTCTGACTACCGGACAATGATCATCAGCACCATTGGGGAAATTGCTTGTAAGTGTCCCTCTGTGCTGGGGCCCTCTGTATTTCAGTCAGTGTTTTAGTCAACTTTTTTTTCTTTGCTGCTGTGACTAACAGGCTTGATTAGCACAATTGTAGAGGAGGAAAAGTTTATTTAGGGGCTCATGATTACAGAGGTCTCAGTCCATAGACAGCTGGCTCTGTTCCTTGGAGCTCAAGGTGAGGCAGAATGTCATGGTGGAAAGAAATGTGGCAGCAGGAAGCAGCTCACGTGATGATCAGGAAGCAGAGAGAGACTCCACTCACCAGATACAAAATATATACCCCAAAATCACACCCCAAGGAATCACTTCCTCCATCCACACCCCACCTGCCTTCTGTTATTACTCAGTTAATTCTCCCAGGGGATTAATTCACTTAATTGGTCAAGGCTGTCATCACCTAATCATTTCACTCTGAATGTTCTTGCATTGTCTCACATGTGAGCTTTTGAGGGGCACCTCATATCCAAACCATAATAGGCTGGGTACACACCATTTGGAGTCTTGGGAGAGAAATGCAACCTATGATGTGGCTCCTACCTACTAGAATTGCACAAGACCCTCAATCATGCTGACATGTCTCCAACATGGATTGGTATGGGAAAGAAGGGTCCAGAGGCGTAAAACTTTGAATTATTATGTTAAGTTGCATTTCTGCCCACATCTTAACATCTCAGAAATTGGGATGTGTCTTGAAATGACTCATTAGATTTCAAATGGCAGCATTATTTCTGTCTTAGTTGACATAAAATGATGGTACTTAAAATCAATGGCACTCTGAATTCAATGAGAAACTGTATAAAACATTTAAAATATAGGTCCAGCAAACTGACCATTAACAACAGATCCACGTGCACCATCCTGGGGACCCCTGTGGGGAAAGTGTCTTGAAGGAGTCGTGAGTTTGATGACAGTGTGAGTGGGTTTGGGATGGAATACCAGAGACATTGGGAGAAAGTTGTTCTTTTCTGAAATAACAAGCATGACTCCTGGCTAGGGGTCATGAAATGTCACTTGTCTGTTAAAGTTTCAAAAATTGTCTTTGCTGTTTGCCTTCCAGTGAATCCTTTAAATATCCTGGGCATCAACTTCCTGGGGAGACGGTTGAGCCTTGCTATCACCATGGGGTGCACGGCTTTGTTTTTCCTCCTCCTCAATATTTGTACTTCAAGGTATTTGTTCTTCCATTTACAGTGGTTTCCAATGAGGTCTCCAGACCCCTAGTGTTCACTGGGGTCTGGCATGAGTCCCTTTTCCAGAGAGAGTGGAGAGCAAGCACCTGGTGCCTTCCAAGCGTACTTGCCTCCTCCTACTGCCCCTGCACCTCTCAGCTCTCAGGATGGAGGTGAAGCATTGGGATCTTTACGCAAAAAGGATACTTAGGATCTTCACGCAAAGTTTCCTGGAGGATTGGAGAACAACCCTAGTTGTTTACCAAATTCTCTGGACCAGTGCCGAGATAGTTTAGTGACAGGGACAGCTGATCTGTGGGGTAAGATTGATTTCACTCTTAATGTGCAGTCCTAGAGAGGCATGAGCTATAATATACAGTGGGCCTCTGCAACTGTGGTTCTCACCATAGATTGAAAATATTAAAAAAAAAAAAAAAAAAAAAAAAACTTTGCATCTGTACTGAGCATGTGTGGAATTTTTTACTTTGTGTTATTCCCTAAACACTACTGTATTTACACTACTATTCAGTATTTATAAATAAGTACTAGATGTTACACTAACCTGGAGACATGTAAAGTGTACAGGAATATGGGGTTAAATGCAAATACGATGCCATTTTAAAAAAGGGACTTGAGCATCCTCAGATTTTGGTATGCACCAGGTTGGGGGAGTGTCCTGGAACCAGTCTGTCCCGAATACTGAGGGGTGAATGCATATCATCAGTTCTGAAAACTGTACCATTTTTTCAGGGCATGTGCTCATCTAGGGGGCCAGGTGGAATGACCCACTTGGGAGGTAGTTGAACCCCATCATTAAGCCTTCTAAGAGCAGTGCCTCCCTCTGGTTGAGTGACAAGTGGCTGCTTCAGTGTCTGTGAAGCACTTGGAACGGGACCCTGGGTGGCCCTCTGTGATGGCTTTTTGGACTTCCCTTGGCTTTCTCTCCTCTAGTGCCGGCCTTATTGGCTTCCTCTTCATGCTCAGGGCCCTGGTGGCGGCCAACTTCAACACCATCTACATTTACACTGCGGAGGTGAGTTTCCCAGAAGGGTTTTCCCAGAGGTGAGTTACTTCAGGGCATTCAAGTGAGCCACTTAGACAGGGTGTCCTTCTGTAGACAATGCGCCCCTGGTTTCTGTCAATTATGTTCTCAAGACAGCCCATGAAAATGGCACTAGCAAGTTTGATGTGGACTTTCCCCTCCCTGTTTAGTCTATTGAAAGACAATGTGAGAGGAAAGATGGGACCTTCTCCCTTTTCCACTACATGCACAAAACAAGCCATCACCCTGACCACAGCCTGCAGGAGTCAAGAGTCAGGAGCAGTGTGTTGCTGCTCCGGGTGAAGCTCCTGTTTCTCCCTCTTAAAATTACAATGTGTTTTTTCACCTTCATTACTTTGGAAGACCGTTTCCCCTTCTCTCTGTTGGTTGGTGCATTGTGGGCTTACATTTGAATATAACTGTGATTTATTCCATATGCATTAGTTTACTGAATTAATACAGCAACGAGATATAAGGTACTTCCTGAGATAGCTGAAGAGTTCCTCATTGACCTCTGCTCATATGGATGGGTGGGGGTACAGTGTCACATGCATGTACTCCCAGTGACTCAGGAGGCTTGCAAGATCAAGGCCAGTCTCAGCAAGTTAGTAAAGTCTTGTCTCAAAACAAAAATTTTTAAAAGGGGGGAGGGGCTGCGGCGAGGCTGGGGATGTAGCTGAGAGGCAGAGCTCTTGCCTATTATGCCCAAGCCCTTGGGTTCTATTCCCAGAGCTGGTTGGGGCGGGGGGGCGGTGGTGGTGGTGGAATTCAAAGGTGTGTATCAGAGAAAAGGAGCATCTTGAGTGTTCTGAAGGTATGTGGTGTTCAGTATGTTTGTAACAAAGGTTGATCTGGGAGGGAAGAGGAGAACTCTGGGAAGAGTCACTGACTGGTGTTCTCCATGCCCCGGCCCTGCAGGTCTACCCCACCACGATGCGCGCTCTGGGAATGGGGACCAGTGGCTCCCTGTGTCGCATTGGTGCGATGGTGGCACCATTTATCTCCCAGGTACAGTCCAGGAGTGTCTGTAGGGAGGGGGGAAAGAGGGACCCTGAGCCCTTTAGATTTAAGAGTATAACCAAAGGTTTTGGCTCACTTGATGAGTTTTCTTGGGGTTCCTTTGCCCCACTGTTTGAATTTGGGTTGGGAAAGAGGCTATATCAACGCCAGGCTTTGCCGGTCAATCTCCTATATTGCTTCGCCTTCAGGGTTTGCTCAATTTTCAACTGGGTATTGTTGGGGAGGATCCAAAGAAAGGGATGCCTTGAAGAGCTGGAGTAGTTGCAAGATGATGGGCTTTAATTCTGAATTGGCTCTGATCAGTTGTCTAGATGGGCAACTGGAAAACATAGCCCCCGAGCTAGGGAGGTGCTATGGGGCAAGGGAAGTTCAGTGCACAGGCAAAGTGAAATCCAGGGGACCCTGGCACCATGAAGCTTCAGGAGGGAAGTCAGGCAGGTAATGTGTGTTAGTCAGCCTTAGCCTTTTTGTTGCTGTGACCAAAATACCTGACAGGAAAAATTTATTTTGGTGGAAAAATTTATTTTGGCTCATGGTTTTGGAGGGTCAGTCCATAGAGGGACAGGGTGACTCCATAGCTCTGGGTCCAAGGTGAGGTGGAGCATCATGGAGGAAGGCTGTGGTAGAGAAAAATGATCAGGACCTAGTCACCAGGAAGCAGAAAGAGTTCTGCTTACCAGAGATAATATATAATCCCCAAAGACTTACCCCCAGTGACCTACTTTCTCTAGCCACACCCTACCTGCTTACATTGCCACCCAGTTAATCCACAGATTAGGTTACAACTCTCATAATCTAGTCATTTCACCTCTGAATATTCTTGCATTGTCTCACATGAGCTTTTGGGGGACACCTCATATCCAAACCATAACACAAGGTGGCCTGTAGGGTTGTAGGTCTTGAGGGGCTATATGCCTTATCACTCTGTACTGCTCATTCTCTTTTGGTCACAAGAAACAGAAATCCACAGGATCTGGCTGTAGCAAAAGGGCAGGAGTGGGGCAGGCCCTGGGAAGGCCTGGTCCAGAAGTTAAGGCTGTCCACTCCAGGCCCTGCCCACTCCCCATCAGTCTGGGTTCTGTGGTCACTCATCCCCCCTGAAAATGTGGGTTTTACTCCTCTCTCCTGGAAGACCCATGTGCTGGGCCTGCCCATGTCTGTGGTGTTCCCACAGATCCCTTACACAGCCCTACCTCTGGCCTCCAGAACCGGAGGATGAGTTCTCGATAGCTAGGAGGGGCCTCTCATTACCCAGTTGTGGTCATTTGTCCATGCTTGAGCTGCATCAGGGTGGTCAAGAGCCAGGACTGTGAATAACCGTAGATATGGAGGTGAAATTCTCAGAGAAAGAGCTGCTGTGGGCGGAGCAGACCCTGACATGCATTTCCTGTCATTTAACAGGAATTTGTGACCACTAAGTTTTTAACTCTTAGGAGTGTTTTTTCCTCCACCCACCTGTCTTTAAAATAGGGGCTGGTTTTGTTTTGTGTCTTTGTTTTTCAAAATTCCTTTGTGACTATTATTTTGTTTTCAGAAAAGGGCAAAAGAAAAAAGTTAACTACTTGGTTTGGATGTCCAGGCTGAATGACCAGCTGGGTCATTTCCCCAGCTTTCATTGGGAATGGAGTCTCTGGGCTCTCAGCCACCTGGAACAGTCTTCCTGGGGACTTGGGGTACCCAAAGGCCACCTTGCTTTTGGTGGGTTTGTGGATTGGGGAAGAAGCCAACTGAGACCAGGTGCTCTGGCCCACAGGGCTCTGCTCCCAGCATCCTGGGGCCAGCAATGGGCTCTTGGCTCTTTACACCTTCGCTCCTCCTGGGCACCCTCCTTGAGAAAGGGGATGAATAATAGCACCACTAAGTGGGTTTATTCTGTTAAAAGACATGAATAAATGCAAAATATCCAGATAAATATTTGACACAAAATGAATGCTAGATGAAAACAATAGTAATGAATAAAAGTCCAAGGCCAAATGCTATTCTCCTTAACCAAAAGATTCTTTTATGGGTGTGAGTCCTGATGAAGCCTTTATTGTTAAAGACAATAAGGTGCAAATGTTGAAGAGCCTGGACAGGATGAGATCGGAAACAAAAACCAAAGAGGTGGTAGTGTTACTGTTTAAAACACGATGCTTGATGATCATGTGAAGGCATTAATGTCACTTGGCAAGGAGGAGCCACTTGGCTGGGAAGAGTAAGGGATGTTGCTTTTGAGTTTTCCTCCTGGGTTCAGAGTTAAGCCTTTTAAAAATGCTATCAAAACATCCCTTACTACTATTGTGTGAAGTCTATGCTCCTCAGGAGGAAATATTTCAATTCACTTCATGCTGTTGAACAGCTGAGATAAGACAGCAGTGTGCTTGGCCATTGGGGCAATGTTTATAAGTGCCAGTTGGACCTTTGCTGTCCTCAAAGGACTTGAGGTGTGTTGGGAAGAGGGAGTAGGAGTATTTTTTTTTTAAAATATTTTTTTTTGTGTGTGTGATGGTACTGGGGATTAAACCCAGGCAGCACTTTACAATGAGCTACACCCCTAGCCCCTTTTAGTTTTTAAGACAGGGTCTCCCTACACCTCCCAGGCTGACCTTAAACTTGTGATCATCCTGCCTCAGCCTCTTGAATCCTGGGATCACAGGTAAGTGCCACTGTGCTGGTGACCTACTTTTAATCCCAGTTAAATTATGTCACTGTACAATTGGGATACTTTGCTTTTCTTAATGGGTTTGCATTGCGAGAGTTGGGATCTGGGAAGCTTGTGCCTACTCCTGGGATATTGCTGGTTGTAGAGTAAGGGAAGCTGCTCCAGGCATCTGGTAGGGGCTGTCACTATCAGGAGCTGACTGGCCTTTCCCTGGAGGTGGTTCTCAAACTTTGGTGGTTATCAGGATTGCTAGTGCAATGCTATGACATAGATTCCTGGACTCTATCCAGATGCGCAGATTCTGTGGCTAGAGACCAGTCACTTGTACTTTTAATTACCCCTGTGAATCCGATATGGCTGGGCTGTGGACCACCTTGTGAGAGTCACTGCCATCTACAGGGCATGTGGCAGCTAGGAATTGGCTTTTCCTTTCATTTAGTTCTTCCTCCTCTTATTCCTTAAAAGAGGCTGTTAAATCAGTTAAAGAAAAATGTTTATATATTACTCAGTAATATGTTTGCCCACTCTAATGACTATATAAGTTTAGTACAGATGCCTCTTAAAAAACAATTGTTTTGCCAGGTGTGGTGGCACATGCTTGTAATCCCAGCTATTCAAGAGGCTGAGGCTGAGGCAGGAGGATTGTAAATTTGGGGCCACTCTCAGTAACTTAGTGACATATTGTCTCAAAATAAAAAAGGTAGGGGATGTAGCTCAGAGGCAGAGCACCCCTGAGGTCAATCTGCAGTACCAAAAAAAAAAAAAAAAAAAAGTCTTGATGTTTAGTTGTTAGTCATTAACAGAAATAAGAGGAGTCATGAGTATGTAGCCCAAGAAAGGAAAATACTTTTTCTATAGAAACATTAGATTCACTAAAACACAGAAGGGACCAGTATAAGGCCTCTACTGATAGGTCAGGGATTGCCCTCATTCTGGGAAATTTCCAGAAGTCAGGCCCCTTGTCCCTAGCCAGGTGTTAGTCCTGGCTGCTGTAACAAAATACTGTAGAGGGATTGAAAATAACAGGAATTTCCTCCTCACAAGTTCTGGAGGCTGGAAGTTCAAAATAAGGTGCTGCATGGTTATTCTGGTGAGGCTCTGCCTGGCTTGCAGATGCAACCTCTAAAGGGCCACAAATCCCTTTCCTGAGTGCACCACCCTTCTGACCCAATTACTACCAATGGCCCCAAATCCAAATATTATAGCATTGTGTGGTGATTTGGATTTCAGCATGTGAATATTGGAGGGACATAGATATTAGGTCTGTGACACCAGGCATCCCTTGGTTCAGTGGTGCTTGAATTTCTGGTACCTCCTGTGGATGGTCAAGTTCTTTCAGTGCATGCCTGTCTTTGGGCTTCACCCAACTTTGCAGTGGAGGCCCTCACAGTCTGAGGTGGCATGGCTATGGAGTGCGGGGTGTGGGTGACACAGCAAGGCTGCTCCCTTGGGGCTAGACTTAACGTGGTATTTCAGCAAGTGAGACAGCCCAGCATGGGGGGAGAGCATTGAAAAACATTCTAAATCTTTACAAAAGAATCATAAAGGGATGTCAATGGGGAAATCCATCCCTAACTCCCAGCAATACCTGTGCACATCTTCTCTGCCCAACTCACCTCCCTGAACACCAGTGGCGTGGCAGTTATCTCCAATCTTTGATCCAAACTATCAAAGCAGCTAAACCGTCTCTCTTATGACCTGTTTTACAGTCTTCTGAAGTCTGCCCTTTCCCATATAAGCCCTCAGGATTCAGAAGCAAGCAGGGGAGGCAGCCTCTGTATTAGAAGGCCCCTTCACCTATTTTGGTGACTCATTCAGGAAACTTTTTGGGATTATTTTATACCAAGTTTAGAGGCTGCCTTATGTAGTTTGGCAGATGTAACATCAAAAAGGACCAAAGTAGCTACAATTTCTATTTTATAAATAGAATTGAGTTGAATTATCCCAAATGATACATTCAACTAACATGTATTAAACTTATACTTTGCCTAGTGTTATCCTTGTATAAATCAGTTTTTCATTAACTATAACAAAATAACAGATGCTGGTTATTTAAAGAGGATTATTTAGCTCATAGGTTTGGAGGTTAAAAGTCGAAGATCAGAAGCTCCCATTGGTCCTGCCTTATGGTGGCCTTATGGTGGTGGCACCATGGTGAGAGTATAGGCATTTGTCACTGTGCCTGGCTGATTAGTATTTCTTTTATTCAGAAGTGATACTTTAAGTTCTTTTCATATTTAAATATTTTACCTTTTTGTGAGAATCCTTCACATACATGAGGTTTCAACTATATTTCTGACATTTCAGAAATGTCAGATTTTCCATTTGTCTTTTATTCTTGTTCATG